AGGTTTATATAATTTTAGTTTAATTATAGTTGGTTGCAGAGCCAAATTTGATAAAATGATTCTGAAAAATGGAAATTATATTATTAATATATTATCAACATATATCGAACGATTATGATCATATGAGTTCCAACTTACATGTTAGATATTGTATATACATATTCAATATCTCTAATTATAATATTATAACACATATTTATGTATTTATATACATATTTATAATAATATTTAATTTATAATGTTTATTTTTTCTTGCCGAAAGTGACGCGTCTTTATGACGAAAAGAACTATTTAAAAGTTAGACAGATTCGAATAGCAAAGAAAAGACAAGGACAACAATTTTTTTTCATTTATTGAAATTTGGTTGACCATACAACGCTGTTTCAAGCATTGTCAAGTACTCATCATTAGTGGTCTTAAGAAATATTCGAATTTCTTAATTAGTTTATAGTCTTTATATAATTTGTTTGGAATGCAAGTGCCGGGCTTAGAACACGTGACTGTCGAATATTTAATTTATTTTATATACCTATTTTATATTCGGATACAAGTTACCTTTTTGTTAAAATTAAACGTTTGTTAAATATTTTTAATATGTTTTACTCTCTGGTGCAATAGAAACAACAGAATATAGAACATGATTTCTGGGTATAGATTTTGTTAATATTAATTTGTGTTTATTTATTTTAGATCCTGATAATGACTTTCAAAGAGGATCGCAATATAGAATATATTATAAAATACTAAACAAACGTTTAATTTTAATTTTGACAAAAAGGTGACCTGTAACCGGATATAAAATATATAGTAAATATTATTAAAAATCAACTTCAAAAATTTAATATTTAATTTATATTTTCAAGAAGATTATGTGTCAAGCAGACATATAGATAGAGAGATAAAAGAGCATTCATATGGTATATATAAGACTTATATATATATAAGATAAGAGTGGTATATTTACTTCACTGATTTACAAAACTTTTATAAAACTTGATATATCTTTTATAATTTATTAGAACCACTATATCGAACATAAATAATATTAAGAATAGACACTACTGATGACAGTTATTAGGTGATATCAGATATAGCTGTACAAATATTCAATAATTGTCAATAAAAATTGTACGTCCCTGTTGTCTCGTTATTTACAATAAATACAAGCATATTACAAAAATAGTATGCACTATATAAAATAAAAATTTGAAAATTATAGTTTACGTTTATTTACGTTTAATTTTTAAAAATTAAAATTTACGTTTATTAACAAAAGTAAATACAAAATCTTATGCACTCAAACAAAATCTATTTACAAGTTTATTACATTTACATTTAATTTTTCTTTTAGTTAACCACATTGGGAATTTCCACTGATTTTATTACGTATCCAATCATAGTAAAACAATGGACTTGCATGTACATCTGGTACACCGACTGCACAAGGATAGCCCCAGTTAACGAGACCAACGAGATAACCACCAGATACTAATGGTCCACCTGAGTCACCATGGCAGGCACCTTCACCTTCACGTGTAAATGTACACATATGACCGTAATCCAAATCAGGATCATAAAACAATTGTTCCAAACACTTATCATATGGCACATATTTGAGATAAACCTTTTGTAATTTATCTGGTGAACCGCCCCATAATACAGTTGAACCCCATCCAGTTAATATTACCTCATCACCTTCTTGCATTGGTTTTGTTTGCAATGGAACAGGCTGTGTTACGCTATCAAACTCAATGGAACTATTCAGCCGTAGTATAGCAATATCATTTGCCATTGAAGGTACATCATAATTGCAATGAGTGTGTATTTCGGTCACTTGATAAGTAGCACCAGGTTTCTTCCATTCATTAGTGCCAGTAACAACAACCATATCTTCCGGTTCTGAGCCAACAACACAATGTGAGGCTGTCAATACCCAATCCTTGTGGATAATTGCTCCACCGCAAAAATGACCATAGAATGGATCTTGAAGCGAAATTTGATAAGGTGCGAAACCAACCTCTGCAGTCTGACCACCAATAACGCGATTTTCAATGCGAAATCTAACAGCTTCCTTGTTTTTAATCCTTATGCCATTAGCATTTTGGGCAACCGCAACCAGTAGCAAAATCGCGATAACCTTCATGTTTGAAAATTTTTTTAGAAATTGATATTATTTTCCATATATCACATAATTTATATATAATTTTTTTCTTCTTTTATCTTTTATCGTATACTGTAAAATTGTTATGGTGGGCGAGAGTATTTTTATCGTGACGATATCAAATTTTGCCTATTAACTGTGAGTGCAGGAAGGCATGAAGTCGGAGGAAAATTGTTAAAAACTTTATTGGATGAATTAGGATTGTAAAACATTTATTTGAATTTTTAATTTATTTATTAAGCAATTATATTTTGGTCACATTCAATTATTTATATTATTGCTTATCAAATTGCATACTGAAACAGTAAAAGTCTCCCGTTGAATTTATAGAACTTTTGTTGAGTTAAGGAATAATGTTTTAAGTAGAGAGTTTACACTGCACTTAGTCATTTTTTTTTAGTATTATTGGTATAAGAATGATCGAAACTCTCTAGAATGGACGCTCTTTTCAATGAATCTATTTACCAAAAACCATGGAAGATTTTTGAAACCCCTTAGAAACTTTCCCTTTCAGTAATATATCCTCCAGTATGTTCGAAAAAATGTTGAAAATAATTGGTACGAGAAACGAGGTTCATACAAAGATACAGAACCTGTAGTAATTACTAGTATATCTTATAACTGTACCAGAGATTAAAATAAACTCAAATTCACATAGTGTGTTCTTTATAAAAACATATATTTATAACATACCTTAAGAAAGAGAGTATCGTTATTATAACCTTAAATACACAAAAAAAAAGAAGTTTTCAAATTGAGCATTTAAAAACTTTTCATATAATATGAAATATATATATAATATATTGTATTGACGACTTACTTTTAACTAACTTTATGGATATAAAATATAATCAAAATATTAAAATTATAATCCAAATATGCAATTTAAATTCAAATCAAATACTTTTGACATCAACTGGAAAATGGCACAGAAAACGAACTTTCCATTAAACTCTATTAATATACTAAAGAATAAATATTAATTAAATTTTGAGAGATACAAGACCCACTTTTGCATAGAAACCAAAAAAATACAACTTATACCTGTATGATGGATATGTTCTAAAACAACCACGTAATGATAATATTAGTCATGATCGCCTCAATGGATCTTAAGAAATGTTAACGGCTTAATAGACATATGACGATATATAGTATATATATACTTATATTGACAATAATCTATAAAATACACTTTACAACCATAACTGCATAAGTACTAGCAATCATTATTATAATAATATAAAAATTTCGGACACTAACTTTCCATGCCCAACAAGAAAAATATACCAAAAGCATCATATGTAACATAATTAGAATTTTATATAATATATGGGGTAATGGTGTTGTTAGTGAGATTAAAATTTGGTAATGGTAAAGACCTGGTGTTTACCATATACCATCAACCATCTAGTAGTAAGACATTAAAAATAAGATTTTTAGTTATCAATTGAAGAGTGATCTACTGGTAAATTTGTACAAGATTACAGAATAGTGAAATATGGTCAGGAGAAGTAATCTAATGATTTTCTAGTGAAATTTGTATAAAACATGTTATAGCGAAATACAGTTATTGAACGGAATTTGACGTTTTTCTAATAAAACAAGGACCTGAGAGTGACCTACAGTTATAAAAGAAAATCTGTTGAAATTTTTCTATTAGCGTTTGTCCTTGATTCTTTAATTTCTGCAACTTCTTTCAGTAATATATACATTCCCCATTGTTTTGCAAATTATCCACTTATGTAGTGTTTTCCATTGGCTTAAAAATCAGACATTTATGTTAAAGAGTCTTGAAAATAGATGATTAATGTTATTATTGTGAAAAAAACTTTACAACCTTTACATTTACTTTTTCAATTATATATCTCCTATACATCTGTTGCAAGAAACTATAATTTTATATGTTTTTAAAGAATTATTTTAAATGAAATCTATATTGTAATAATACAATTCATATAAAAAACATATATATAAAAAATTTTTATTTTATATTAACTGAAGAACTTTATTTATATAATCACAATTACAACACAATATTTATTTCATTTCAAAAATATTTAGCACTTATGATTTCCACTCATAATTCTCCTTATCCAGTCTCGATAAAACAATGGACTTGCCTGTGCATCAGGATAACCTATAGCACACGGAAGACCCCAATTGACAAGACCAACTAAGGTGCCGTTACTTACTAGTGGACCTCCAGAATCACCATGACAAGCACCCTCACCTTCACGTGTGAATGTACATATATGTCCCGCATCTACATAGTCATATTCTCCAAACAATACCTTGCACTTCTCATGGGGTACGTATTTAACTGTAATTTTTTGTAAATCGTCCGGGGTGTCCCCCCAAGCTTCTAAACTTCCCCAACCAGTTAATATAACGTCATCTCCCTCGGTCATCTGTTTGGTCGGTAACGGTATTGGCTGTGTAACATCATTAAAAACAATTGAAGTGTTTAGATGCACCAAGGCTATATCATTTGCTTGAGTCGGTGTATTAAAGTTGCAGTGTGAAAACATTTTATCGATATAGTAGATTGCACCTGGTTCCTGCCATTTTGTGCTGCCGGTAACTACAAGTAAATCATCAGGTTCGGTATATGTAAGACAGTGTGCGGCAGTAAGTATCCAATTTTCATTAATTATTGCACCACCGCACTTATGATATCCCCACCAATTTTGTAGTGATATTTGATATGGTGCAAATCCTTTTTCGGCATTCTCTCCGCCGATAATGCGATTATCGAATTTCACTGCACCGCGACTATTAAAAATTAATTTACTATACGTTAGTGTGAAAGCAGCGAGTAAAATAAATAAAATTTTCATTTTCAATGTTCGCCTCGCCAACAACTTTTGAAGTATAAATAATTTTTTACAAGCTATTAGATTTTATTTGTTAATATCAAAATTAAGTTCTTTTATCTTTAATAACCGAATGATAAAAACTTGTATATGGTATATGTCTATATAATTTATGAACGAATTGAATATTATTAGTACGAATACAAGGTAAACAATAGGAGGTGCGGGAACTGTTCACTGGGAAACTACACTGTAGTGTGTATTGACTCAATTTTAATTACTATTTTAAATACCATAAATAATTTTTAAATAAACTTTAAATACTGTAAATAATTTTTTTTAATTAATCAATATTTAAATTGATTATTTATGAAATAACGAAATATCATAATTTATAGATCTACTGATTATTACTAGCTTTTCGTTGTCTTTTAATTTTTAATTTTTAATTATTTAATTTTTTAATTGAAATGAATTAAATTTTTTTTGTAAGTTATGAAATTATATATGTATTATCTTTAATATCTTTTAGTTCTTGATATAAATCTTATTTTTGTTTTTTCATTGCATGACACCTCTTTTCTCCGGTACCTCTTTTCTCCAATAGTTTGTGATTGTAAAGGAGATTCGAACAGTTTCCTTTATCTTATTTATTTTATGGATTTTATAGATATCTTTAGGAGGGCCTGTTGGTACATAATAAATTTCGCTGAGAAATAAGTTTATAATAATCTTAATTCATGTTTGATAATAACAAGAGGTTCCACTAAGTTGGAAATCAAACCTTGAAATATATATTAGTAAATCTAACTATTATATGGAATTTATAATAATAAAATTAATATTATTATTAATAATAATAATCAAAAAATAATTATATAATCTGTGAGGTCATTATAACAGCTTCGCATCTTTATTCTTATTGCCAAAGTACAATAAAATAAAATAAAATAAAATAAAATAAAATAAATAAAATAAAATAAAATAAAATAAAATAAAAAAAAATAAAATAAAATAAAATAAAATAAAAATAAAAATAAATAAAATAAAAATAATAAATAAAATAAAATAAAATAAAATAAAAATAAAATAAAATAAAATAAAATAAAATAAAATAAAATAAAATAAAATAAAATAAAATAAAATAAAATACAATAAATAAAATAAAATAAAATAAAAATAAAAAAATAAAATAAAATAAAAATAAAATAAAAATAAAATAAAATAAATAAAATAAAAATAAAATAAAATAAAATAAAATAAAATAAAATAAAATAAAATAAAATAAAATAAAATAAAATAAAATAAAATAAAATAAAATAACTTAAAATAAAATAAAATAAAAATACAGATATTTTCATCTAGACTAGATATTCACAATGCTTCAAATTCTGGAGAAGACCAAGGAAAAACAAATCGTCACACATGTTTTGGGGGCACTCGGTACTACCAACTGGCTACAGCAAGCAATTGATCCGGCTGGTTGGCGGAGGATACTCGACGCGGCCAAAAAGGACTCGCGTCTATAATGGCCAACTAAGGAAGTAAATATGTATATTATATATTTTTTATTATATATTTATTTAAAAGTTCATTTAAAGTTTGTATAAAAATCATTCAGCTTAATAAGTTTTATTTCTCGGTGTACAATTTTAGTTCTGCGACTAAATAAATTGGCTTCTAGTATAAAAAATAAAATATTTTAAAGACTCAAATGAAATAATTTAAAAAATTTTAAAATTTTTCACAATTAAAAACTATTTTGTGTAGAAATTAATTAAATCATTAAAACAGCAAATAAGGTGACAAAAGCGATTAATTCAACGTTTATAACTACGCGAAGAATTTCAGATGTGAAATTTTAAAAGATTTAAAATTTGAGAAAACAAAAAAAATGGATGAGAGAAAAAAAGATCTACAGATTTTTCGTAAATGTCTGCAATTTTTTAAGGGAATTTCTAGAGTGCAACGAAACATAGGAAATAAAATCGTGTTAACTAATGTTGCTGTGCAAACAATTTGCAACAACGACTAATTGCCTACAATGTTGTTGATTGTTGTTGCAGCCAAGCAACAATAAAACGACAGCAGCCAATTTTTCCAAGTGACTTTCTATGATTCTGTTCACAACAAAGTGTCGGGCAAGTATCTATATCTGTTTAACAGTCAAACTGATGTGCTCAACTTTACTTGTAAATTCATCCGTAAGTACATTAAAGCGAGAGTATTCAGCGAGTCTGTATGTCTGTTTGTCTGTCTGTCCGTTTGTCTTACTGTCACACATAGTTGCAGTCTATATAAAAGCGATGTTCTTCGCTGATGTCTTGCATTTGTTGCATGTTGCCAACGGCCAGCAGGCAGCAGTCAGCAGTCAAGCAGTCGAGCAATTGAGCGCACTATATTGCAAGTCTATTCGCGTTGATTTGGTGTCACTAAGGAGGGGTCCTCAACGCAATCTGACTTTTGTCTTGTGCATGTCTAACACAACAAATCGTTTACATTCCTTAAGATACATTTTCGAAATAAATACGGCGGCTGCATTTAGGTGGAAAATTGAATTTTCTTATTTATGTGCATATCACTGAAATATTGCTCCATTATTGTTGTCACTGTTGTTGCTGCAACAATATGTGGGGTGTGTTTCTTCTTGTGGAAATGGTGTAGACTAGTAGCAAGAGTACGATAAAAATTTTTCAAAAAAAAATCGTTAAGGTGTTTAAGTATGTTTGATGCATTTCTTGTGTTTGACATTTCACTCCTCAAACTGATAATTGCTTTAGCACTTTGCGATACAAAATCTTAATTCAATACACCATTTATGCCAACTTTGAACAAAAATTAGAATAATTTAGGCATGCTAGTTAAGTATCTATACTCTTGTAGAGTGTATCGAGTTACATTTTTGAGTATTCCAAAATCAACTCCAACAGCGAAATTTTAATTTAAATTTCAGTGTGGCGGTGCCAGTGGCAGTGGCAGTGGCGCCCAATCACCTGCTTAACATGTTTCCTTATTCCTCAGTCAAAGCTCATAATAAATTCTAAAGAGTATAAAATGAGGAATTGAATATATATTTTTTTTGAAAACATTATGAAAATTTAAGAAACGTGTTCAACTTCAAAAGCATTTAAAATATTATTTATAAACCATTTTATTTTTATTCACATTTATCAACACTCGCAATGGCATTAACGTCCAAAGACGAGCACAAATATTAAAAATAATTTTATTAATAAACAAACTGATTTGTCAGCACAGCCCAGCACCGCACAGCACAGCATAGCGCAGCAAATCATAATAAAATGTAGCAGCAAATCTCAGATAAAAGATGGCATCCCATCATAAAAACTAATAAGCACAGTTCCGTTTAATATTTCAACGTACTCGTCATAGCAGCAGAGGTAGCAGCAGCAGCAGCGGTAGCAGCGGCAACAGCGGTTGCAGATACTTTACATTCTCATAGTCATAGATAAATAAATACGAGTATGTATATATATTTACATAGATACACAAAGTTACGGATACTTATAGCTTGAGGTTAATTTCAAAGCGGATTACCTCATTATGAAGTTGCGCTAATCATAATTATGAATTTTATTATTTTTTGAAAACTAAATATTTTTCACTTTATGACTGTTTTATTACCAGCGAAGGCACTTTTTATGTGGGACAATTAGTTAAATATGTCAAAAATTTATTTCTTAGCTACGAGTTCGTCAGAAAATTTAAATTGGCATTTTTATTGACAGAAAAATTTCAAATGACAAAATATAAATATAAATATTTAAATTATTTTGCTCTATATTTTTCACAAAATATGCAAAACTCAATTAATTTATATTTGCTTTTTGATATAAAATATGTTACAACAGTTTTGTTAAAAGCATTCGGAATTCTTAATGGCTTTCATATTGCAATTTATTTCTATTTGTAAAATTTTATTCAAATAATCTACTAAAAAAATAAACTAGATTGTGAAAAGCATTTCACAGTAAAAAAATATAAAATAAAGCTCATCTAAGAAAACTAACTCCATCAGCAAAAGATACTTTAAATGAAGTTAATGACTGCACTTGTAGTTATACCAATTATAAAGTAGTCTGTAATATATATACTTCTACATTGAAGAGTCATTGCTACATTGAAGAGCAAGCTGGCTTAGTGTTTCATATACTTATACTCTTCTACTCACAGTCCTTGGTTCATTCCAGAGCAAGCTGACTTAGTTTCTTCATATACCTATATAGATGCTCTCATGAGATAGTAATCACGTAGTTTCTCCTTGCGTGTCTAGTTCCGATGTTGTTGATTATTTGTAACAAACCCCTTTGTCTACTACTATATATAATATAAAGATTGCCTAACATTGCAAAGAATCAGAATATCAAGAATAGTAGAATTCTCACTGCAGACTATTAAAAGGTAGAAGAGCAAGATATTCTTGTTTTAGCAATTTCTGCATAGGAGCAAAATATAGCTATCAGTTAAATTTGGAAGTTAGATTTTAACTGATAATTTTAATAATATTTGTTTTATTTATATATACGGTTAGGCAAGGATTAGGTAAGTGTTACCTATTTAAGCGACCACATTTTTTTTGTGGAAAATTATTTTTCATTGATTCAAATTATAAAAATTTATGAGAATAATCAAAATTTCATAATCCATTCACTCCAGTTCGATGTAGTCACCTTTTGCCTTGACCATGACCTTCAAACGGTTAAAAAATGAGTTGCATGCTTCATGAATGTGATCTTCCGATATTTAGGCCCGTTCCTGAATAATGGCTTTCTTTAGCGCATCCATACTGGCATATGTTTTAGTCCTAGCCCAAATGGAATAGTCCATTGGATTTGCATCTCGCGAATTCAAAACCCATTGTATAGACGAGATGAAGTGTGGAACATGTTTTTTTAAATATTCTTGTTTCACATAAGCTTTATGAGACGGTGCCAAGTATTGTTGGGACATATATGGTCTACGACCGAAATGTTTGCCTGTTCACGAGTCTAAAATAACTTCAAAACTAC